CACATATATAAACAAAGACAGCCTAGAAAGAACTGTGCTGAGAATATTGGAGAACTAATTAATAATTAATTAGCCTTCCTAACCATAAGCTTGGCAACTAATCTGTGTCTCTTATTTGAGATGTACAACGTGAAAACAATGTTATCCACATTATGTAAGTTTATAATACATTAGATCTTACTATAAATAAAGCCGGTGTTATAGAATGTAGCTAAAAACTATCCTCGGGGCGGACATCCGGGCATTTTCTACCGCCTGGCCACCCTCGCGGTGAAAACAAAGACCAAAAACTCGCAGAAAACGGTACTTTGCGATGGTTGTTGGGAGTCCCCTGAACAGTGTAACAAGATTAGCCCTACGTGTGTAACATATATGAATTTGGTTGTTCAGGATTACTTCAAAGTTGAGTTTGTATTGTTTTCTCGAATTTTCACCGGCTCCACCGGCGTTCCACAGCAGCGCGCACAAAGCCCATAGAATACGTGGTACGAACTCCGCACAGTTCGATACGCGTTACTTATCATTACTGCACAAGGCAGCTTTGCATAGAACTCATTTGCATATTCGAATATGTTCGAACTACAAGACCCTGTCGGTTAACAAAGTTATGCGTAAGTGACTTGGTTACTTTAATCACTTTAATAAGACGTTTCACGTCCGACTCTGAATAAAATGTTCAGTTAATTAGATTAAATTTACATGACTTGCGTTAGAAAAGTACAATCCTTTCCTACATGCCAAAGCATTAGTTTCTACTATAAATGACTAACTTTATAAACTTACTAGAACCTATGTGTTCTATGGCTGTTAGACGCACAAAATCGAACCCGTTCAAGCCAGAAATAGTATTGAAATATTCACCAGAATACAAGATGAACGGAAATGTTAGGAAACTCCTTTCAGTTAAATTAGTCTAATAATGTTTCTTTCCCAACTATATACGTTAACAGAACGTTCTTTTTCCCCAGTTTTAGTGTATCACGTGCGCCATTTCACTACAGTAACATTACCTTGCAAAACATAGTCCGCGATAAAATGGTTCGTATTTACGTTTTTACTGAAGTCTGACATTAATAAATAGTTCGGATGTCACATACGTTTTTTCCCACTTTTTGTAGTTCGGTTTCAAATGAAACAACCGCGGAAAATGGCCGTGCGTAGTGAGGTGATTGACCACAAAATTGAAGGCTGCCTGTGGCAGAGGCACTATTGCGTAAAGCGCAAAGGCCTCTGGGAAGGAGATTGTACGTGGTACAGTGATGCGCGTGACGTAGCTCCGCCTCCGAGGATTGATAGAAAAATCCTATAACAGAATAGGATGGTTTAAAGTACATTTTAAAGTTGGTGGAAAATATCACAATTTTAGAAAGTTTTTCTACTTTCATTAGGAGTATTACAAGAAAGGTGCATATAATCAAGATCACTTTAAAAGTGAGAAATCCTCTATCAACACAGACTTTAACGTTAACTTTCATATTTGTATGCATTGCGCCATCTACGGTTACAGTCATTCACCATTATTTTGATACTTTCATTGTTTAGCAAACTACATTTCTACCACCCATTCAACAGAGGCACGTCGTCTTCAGGGAGCGCTATTAATACGCATGGTGAATTGTTACCACTCCCTTGCTCCACCCGTTCCTAAAATACCAAGGTAATAAAACGTTCATATTCTCACCTAAGATCTCCCACGCATCCCTTTCTTCGTTGTACGTGACTCTGCTCTGCCAGTATTTTGCAATGTCTCTCAGGAACTCACAACCCCAGTCATTTAACCAATCAACATCACGGGTTGCCGAGAGGTACTGTCTAGCAGCAAAGGCGATATCACTGGTCACGTGTTGCTGGTTTTCTCTCGTCTCATAGCAACAGTCTGGCGTTGTCTCGGCACCCGTGAATGCGGATTCCCATGGGAATCGCGTTCCGTTGTGCCAGTTACAGGCTGCCCTCTGTTTGGCCTCTTCTCTCACGAGCCACCTGTAAGATAGAATGTCTTTCCCCAGCGTCGGGAAGAACATCATAATACATGGATACATCCAGGTTTCTGTGTCCCAGAAACTATGCCCCTGGTAGTCACGTAGATAGGATCCTCTGGTGAGCCCACCCGGACTGAGTCCATAAAACTGGTTCCTCGGTTGAGGCGGCTCATCCAAGACTGGTAAAGAACTCAGTATATAGTAGAATGATCCGTAGATGATTTTGCCGAGGTTAAGGTCATCCACTTCAATTTTGCCTTGATTCCATGTATTGCTCCATGCATCGATGTGTGCCTGTAGTAACGCAGCGCCCTCATCGGCGTTTATACTTCCCATTACGTCATCGAATTCCTTCTTCGCCACGTCGTTCTTCTGGTCAATCGAAGTTACGTAATTGTGAATACGACCGTTGTCTGTTTGTCCCAGTGTTATTTTATTGTCCAGCTCGTTATAATAAACATACACTGTAGCCTTTTCACTGACTGGTGTCTCCGCGAGTTTGGTTTCCCCGTTCATCGTTTTGTAGCTATATAGGCATGGTAAAAAATCACGTTAGTTACATGACTTAGCAATAATAATTCAATGTATATATATCGAATTGAATTAAAAACTAAAGTTTAAACATTTTACTTGATG